TCGGGCCCGACAGCCGGCGACGCGGCCAGGCACGCCCGTCCGGCCCCGTTCGGGAGCACAAGCCGCACGGTGGGCCCTGCACCCAAAGGGCCGCCCTCGCTCACCCTTGCCCCAAGCCAGACCCAGCGACCGCTCCATCCTCGCCAGCCCAGGGTAGAGTCCCCTGGTCCTCTTCCAGACCAGAAATCGAGACTGAAGACCACTGACCCACAGGGACGATGGAAATGGCCTCTGGCCCTGTCCCCGGGAGGGCCAGGAGCGGCCAGCCGAGGGCAGCGTGCGCAGAGCCCCTCACCTCCGCAGAGCCGGGCTCCGTGCTGTTGAAGGCAGTGGCGGCTTTTGTCCAAGCATCACTGGCCGCGGCCTGAACGGGGAGGGCTGCAGGGGGGGACAGAAGCGGCCAGCTCGGACCAACAGCTCGGGGCCAACTGACCGAAACCCACGTCCTCTTTCTGCCCTCCCTGTCCCGCAGGGGACAGACTAGTGGCCCAAGATGACGCACAGTGGCCGCTGGACCCAGATTTCTGACATTCTCGGCTTTCAGTGAATGTCCGTGCTGCTGCATGGACACTCGCTGTGAACCAACGGCAGCCCCTGACTCCACCTGTCGGCCTGTCCCCACCTCTGCTACGCCCGGCCTCTGCTTCCCTTACGCCAACCGTTTGTACCGAGCACCTGCTGCCACCATGCCACAAGATGACCCGGCCGGCCCTCAGCCACGCAGCTCACGGACCCTGATGCTGGCAGGCCCCGGCTGTGCCTCACTGCGTGACAGAGAGGCTCGGTGCCCCGCGGCACTGCCGTGGGTGCCCAGCGGAACCCAGGGACCCTGGAGGAAGGAGGGGGCCCCGAGGCGGCTGCCAGGCCTCATCCACGCTGCCAGGCACCCGGAGGGCAGGCGCTTTTGGACGTGAAACTATACACACCCACACACCGCCAGTCCCCGACTCCTGCGTCTTTACTAACAGGTCACACTTCCACCCAGGTGGCCGTGAATGGGGTCCAGTGCTGTTTTGCAACGTGCTGGAAGCAGACTTCTGGCCAGGAGCACGAGGGCGTGCTGCGCCAGGAAGCACGAAGGTGGAGCCCGGAGCCCGGGGCCGTAGGGCTCCGCCACGCGGCTCCGCTGTCGGCCCACTTGGGGTGAGCCCCGGCGCTCTGCTTGAAAATCAGCTGGGCGTGGACCCCCTCGCCAGCACCCCCCAGGGCCTCGTCTGAACTTGCTTTATGCCCATCCTTGTGTTTGTCAACCCCACAGGACCCTGACCGAAGTCGACGCTCAAGATTCTGCTCAATTGAAATGACCACTTTGAAATAAAAATCTATCCTCACAGTATCTTTAGAGACGAAGGTCTCCTTTTTAAAGTTCACAGAAACAACTTATCGCCAAAAACAGAAGGTGGGCCCCGTCGGCTCAGGCTGGTCTCCGGAGGGCTGTCCTCCTGAGTCCCAGAGCCCCGGGACCCCTCCCCTGAAGGCCCACGGGGCTGCCACGGGCAGTCAGCGACCCCCGACCGACCCGAGCTGGGCACACTGCCCACCCTCTCCAGGCCATGACGGCCCTGCTCTCCTCCCAGGCTTCAGGCTGGGACGTCCGCACCCGTGCCGGCTCAGCCATCACAGGCTGCTCCAAGGGCCAGCACCCTGGCCCCGGTGGGCCCGAGCCTACCCTGGCTGCTGCTCTCCCAGATCTCGGTGCCCAGGCTGCTGCCAGGCACAGCCACGTCGCCTTGCTCCAGGCACAGGTTGTTCTGCTTCTTAGCAAACCGAGGAGGAATACGGGAGGCGAGCCCTCGACCTTTGACAGGCACCTGAGGAGGAGAAAAGAAAGACCCTCCATGCTTAGACACCAGGCCCCGGACGCCGCCTTCCCAGGAGAAGCGTCCCAAGCACCGACCCCCTGCTGAACTGTGGGCCGCCAGGCCCTGCCCAGTGGAGTGACAACCGCCAGCACAGGGGGCTGCCCGCAGCTGGGCCGCAGGAGCAAGGTGGGGGCAATGCGCGGTGGCGGCCCGGGCACCCCCCGCCCCCCACCCGCAGCCCACCTGCGCAGCCTGCTCCTTCTTCCTCCGCTCTTCCTCCAGCAGGCGGCGTTGTTTCTTGGTCAGGACCTCGATGAAACCTTCGCCCACCATGGAGCCCACCTCACTCTCCTCCCCTGGGCTGGACCCACAATTGTCAATGATGGCACCTGAGCCAAGATGTCAGGAGAAAGGCCAGTTTCCACTCACCAGAAGCCAAGAATACCTGCACCTGCCCCACCCTTCCTGGGGACCTAGCAGTGAAGGGTGGGCTCAGCTCAGAAGCCACTGGGCCTGGAACGCCCAAGGGGCCCTGGAGACCCCCCGCGACCTCCACACCCTCAACCCCTAACACGCCACCCACTCAAGCCCTTGTGGCCAGGGCCCCGTGGATCAGGGAACGGCCGCTCAGGCGGGTGCCTCACGCCAGCGCTGCAGGGGCCCCGCGGCCTCAGCCTGGCCACTCCCTGGGCCTCTTGAAGCTGGGCTGGCTCAGCAAGGCCGTGGGCAGCAGGAGGGCAAGGCTCCAGCCGGACACAGAGCCAGCACCGCCCAGAGCAGCCCCCCCGGGAGAAGGCTCCGCCCCAGAGCTGTGCCGGGCTGGGCCGGCGCCCGCCCCAAGCAGACCGGCGCCAACTCACTGCCGTAGCTGAGGTCAAACTGCTTCACGGCCTCTGCCTGCTCGCCAGCCCTCTGTGCAGCCGGCGGGGCCCCCTTCTCCGCCTTCTCCCCAGCGGCTTCAGGGACGTCGACACTGCCGTGGGCCGCACGCTCCAGGGGGTAACGGCCACTCCCGGAACCACAGGCCGCAAGGCCTCCCGGCACGGCCTCCTCCGGGGACCTGGAAAGGACGGGGTCTGGTCAGCAAGCCAGGAGGCGGCACCACAGGAGCGCACGGCACCCGGCCCGCACCCACTGCGCCACAGCCTGGCCCGGCAGCGGCCACTCGCTGGCAGCAGGGCCTC